ATGCCGCTGACCAAAATGAAAAATATCGCGGGCGCAGAAATATCGAAACATCGATATTTCTTGCCAGTATCGATACTTTTCTTCAAAACCCTGGTATCGATAGTATCGAGTATTTGGTATCGATATCGGCCCATCCCTAGTTGCAATCTGTGACGTCACGCGTATTGCAAAGATCTCTGCATTTTTGTTGTTTCGCTATATTTTCCGCCTTAAAAGAGCAATAATGAAGCACAAACCGGTCTAATTGTTTTAAAAACATGCCTAAGCCACGACAAAGTATTCAAGGTAAATGTTTTTCGTCTTTGTTTTGTATTTTTTTACATTTGTAGCTACGAAATTGGCGTCCCCAATTTTAACGAAATTTGGGATGCCTTTTTCACTGTTTAGTGCTTGAAATATTTGCTAAAATTGACTGGGAATACTTAGAGATTTCATCGTAGAATGGCGTAGTTATATTCATTTGCTCTTTGACTAAAATGTTTAACTGTATTATTGCTAAACATGCCGTTTTTGAGAATTTGGTTTGCAACTAGGTTTCAACATCCAATCACGCCATCAGCCCATTGAAAACATTAGGTCACGTCAGCTAGTTTCCTATCGATTTATTTTATTATCCATGCTCGTACCCAAGCGCTTTAAATAATTACAATACAAGGAGTATTCAGGTAGGTAGGCGACGCGCGAAGGGGCAGTTGGGAAGGGTGCGTGCTGGGGAGCGCCTGGCAGTTCTTGTATACTGTCATGGCGGGAAAACATGGAATTCAATACAAAACGTTCCCATATCGTCATATAGTCTGTGTGGAAAACCTTATTTTTTGACGAAGAGTCGAATTGAACGCCATTGGCAAACAATAAATTTTACCGTGCGAATATTTCGAATATGTCATTCGGTATTACATGGAGAATAATAGAATGCTATCAGTTGCTTAGTATAAAATAGTAACAGAGAGATGATTAGAAAGTCATATAATTGCTTTTGTATTAATAACTTCTTTAGCTGAAAGCTCGATCAGTCGATCACAATGCCAATGGCAATTTCTATTAAATGTATACTGTAAACAAAAGCCCAAGTAAATAAAAATTCACAGCCGTAAAGTTTGAAATATTTATTACAACAGTGCAATTTTATAGTTTGTACCTTTATATAGTTATAGCTTACAAATCTAGTTCCTGCAAGTCTAGTTCTTTAAATAAGGCATATGTCATATATACCAAGAATAACAGCATGAATTTACGCCCAGATGACAGAAGAATATTAACATTAGTCAATTCAACAAAAACAAGTAGCAAAAAATCGTAAACGACAACGAAATATCACAACTTGCAAGAAATCGACTTTCTTGCAAGAAATCGACCAAGAACTGCCAGGCGTCTCGCAGTTCAAGTGCACTCTTCCCATCAGCCCTTAACCCATCTATCCCCACTACAATACTTCATGTAAACTCGTCCTATGCGCATCACTGTTTTTTTACAAAGAGACGCCTGGGTACGAGGCAGCGAAAAGTCGAGAATATTTTGTAGTCACGCGTGTAATAAAATTCTGAACAATTATTTGATATCGTGACACGTCATGCATAGCAAATTCGTGTGATTCGCTTTTTCCTACGGTATAATCCGTGCGGTTAAGTGTGCTCGAATGAATTTTTCCCACGCTGTACGAGCAGGCATTGTCCGCCATTTTTAGGCAAGGCATGGTCACATGGCGTGAAAATCGAAAGGCTAAAACCACTGTCCCACTGATATGATTAGTGCATCCGCTGTGCATATAAATGAATCCAATTAATGGCGGCCATATTGGTGTGACCACCAAGAGTTTTTATACTTTCTGATTATGGTTGTGAAAGGACACGCATTGTCTACATATAAATTGGTCATTAGTAGCCTCTCTTTCATATTAAATTTACCGGTGAATAACTACTGGGGTCACACAATATGACCGCCGCAACTATCATTATCCAGTGTTAATAACGTTCTAAAACTCATTAAAAATCTCTTAATTTTTTTGGCTTCAAAATTGGTTCATTGAATCACGATACTCTATCCAGTACTACTTTGATCGCGTAGAAATAGGGCTTAAAATATTGTTGTACAATTTCTAAGTTTGTATTCTTTCAAAGTATAGTTATCTGCGAACACCCTGATGAGCACTGTACCAAAATATGCCACAAAAACGATGATCATGATAGCGTTAGCAATGACATGTCGTCTCCAGTACTTCATCCAAATCTTTTGCATCGGAATGTCATAAAAGTGAATCTGAATGAACACAGACATAATATTGAATGCAAAATCTATGGCCAAACTTATCGCTACCCGGATTAAGGAAGCTTTTATCACTTGCCAGGACGGAACATCGTAGCTCATTACAAGATAACATGCTAAATACGCCTGACTTAAGATGACCGTGGTGTACTCGAACAAGATATTCTGAATTTCAAGATCTGCGTTGAATCGACGAATACATGGCAAATTTAAAGGTTGTACTTCCAATCTTGGTCCACAGCATATTCTGTTAAAATATTTTATGAACAACCTCCAAAGTTTTATACGAAGGTTAAGAGTTGCCTTACTCAGAGCGTTTGAGATACCATGTAACAGTGATAAACCAACAAAAAGCCGGATATCTTGAAAACCAGACTGCATAGTTCGGTATAGCACAATTGCACCCCCGCGTAGGAAATAACACAACACAAAAGCTCGATCTGGTGTAATAATCTCCGAACTCTTCCTGAGAATAAGGTATTTTACAAATGCAGTCACTGGGAAAACCATTCCGGGTGTGACTGCGGCGATTACGGCTTTCTTTATTTTGCCTTCAGTTTCTCTAAAATACTTGATGATAATAAACGTGTAGATGTAGGCAAATAAGCAGGAACTTAGGAAAGCGAACGAAAGAATGAAAAAAATGCGGAACACACCGTACGATGTTGCTGGGTTGACTTTCTTGAATTTACGAGCAACTAGGTAAGCACCACAGGCAATAGAAGACACAAATAGAAAATGAGCTAGGAGTCTATAAAAAACCCAAAGAAACTTGTCACAAACAATGTCAATGTCGACACTTCACAAAGTCCCCACTGCCCTCCTTCCCATCCTCCCTCCCTCCCTCCCTCGTAATTACTGAATCGATGCAAAACTTTTTTTAATAATCCTTGCCTTGTCAACGGTTCCACGAAGGGTGTTAAACAATTTTAACTCGGTGAGGAAGGGAAAGAGCAAGTTTTTTACCATCCGTTACAAAATATTACAATTGATGTTACAGTGCAGATGCCCGATCAACATCCTGTTTCATAAAATCTTTTTAAAAGAGTAAATTGATTCCGGAAGTTTAGTATCAAGAGGAAGACTATTCTAGGGTTTAGCCCTCTGTACTTTCAAATTCCAAGTGGTTGTCGTAAAATTCAACAAGATTTTATAGAATATTTGCAAACTAGTATTTATGCTAGTATAAACCAGTTTACTATATGTACTAACCTGTATGGGTTATAAGCTACTTTTGTAAACTTATCCAGCATAATAATTCGATAAACACAAGTTATGGATCCTGGTACAAACGCGCAGAAAAATAAACACGCAAGGTAATTCTTTTTGGACTCTCTGAAACCCCACAACAAGGTGATGCATGCTGGAAACCATGAAAACAACGGTAGTAATCGGACAGACATTCCAACAATCCGTAATGTCTGTACGTGCGCTGGAATAGTAAGATTTTTGTGCATCCATTGTACACAAGCGTCATTTGAATTAAACTCCACGTAGACGACTCCAACTGCGAGTGAACCTAATACGAAAACAACCGCCGTTATTAATCCGACATTTGCCTTCAAACTTCGGATTGATGATTCGCAGAAATTTCGCCTTGTGTCAGCTTGCATCGAAACAAACGTCCCATCTTCATAATAAGGGACCTCGGTCGGTGCCTCTTGTTCGTACTCACGGTGTATTAAGCCGTCGTATACTTCGTCTTGTTCAGGATTTGGCAGGGATATCAACGTGTATTCCCTTTGCGGATTTTCTCGGGATATTGGTGGTGTTTGAATAATTAAACTCGAGAAAAGTGCCGCACAACTACCAAATAGTTCCTCCAGAAACATAATCCGTTTAGAGTACTTGAATTTGTCGGACTCCTAGGAAAAATTTGTCTGACTCGTAGAGACACAGTATTTGTATAACATACCTACACAAAGGCTCTTTAATGCGCGTCAGTCATGCAAGTCGAATTTATTGATTTTTACGTACGCCCCGTTTGAATGCCAAAGCGAAACAAAAATGTTCACAATAGACCTTTTTCATAGGACCATGAACTTGGTTTGGAAATTGCCCATATTTCAATGTCTATTTACACTTTTGAGAGATGGGTTCTTTTCTGTTAAATGTTATTAAGGTACGAAAGAATCATTACATAACAACGAAATCAAAATAGCACTTTTCTCAGAAGTGTAAATAAACATTGAGATGGCAATTTGCATACCAAATTAAATTGGTGTATTTTTACCCACAATTTGCATTGCGAGTCGTTGCATTGCGAATTGTCGCTAAAAATTGTTCCTTATTGTACTAAGTCTTTTTCCGCGTTTGACATAATTGACATAATTATGAAAAAAGTCTATTTAAGATTTAACCCGACAAATTATGTTTTCGTAGCGCTTTGCATTGTGGTTATAGTGGTATCACTGATAAAAATAGCGGCCTCGAATGAAAATATTGAATGTTTTCGCGAATATTTTGCTGTTGGCTATCGCGCACCTGACCCTAGCTTTTTTAAAAGTTCTTCCACGGGTCAGAACAAAAAAATAAGCCATCTTGAATATCAGTGATACCTCTATAACCACAATGCAAAGTGCTACGAAAACGTTATAAGGGTAATCTAGTATTTGAAACCCAACGAAAATTTGTCGTTTCACATTTTCAGACGGAACCGGTGTCCCAGGACGTTTGAGAGATCGAAACATTGCACTACAGGGTGTATCAGAAAAAGTGGAACAGAAAAGTGTTATGTTAAATGCTAAAACTGACATTCCTTGTTTTCTGCTCAAAAAAGCAACTGATATTGGATAACATACTTCATTATTTTGCATTCCGGTGCGACCTACATTAATGACGCATTTCCACTAAGTGCTGTGGTCATTACAAATCATGTTGATGACAACACTAGACACAATGATCCTAGTCCAAACGAACATAGGAGCCTTTATCAAGCAATAAACTATTTTCAAATTTTGGTGAGTTACTAACGTTTTCAAATGTATCACCTACAGTTCCAAAAGCAAGCAACACGAAGTACAGCAACAGTGAGAGATCCAGTAAGGAATCCCAAGAAAATCTAATTCCTTGGAGAGTAGCTTATCAAATAAAAGTCTAGGTTTTATCAGTAGGCCAGTTGGTAAAGTGCACAGTAACAGTGAGAGATCTAGTAATCAGAAATTACGAGACAAGTCTAGTTCCTCAAACGGTAGATTATCAGATGGAAGTCTTGGCTTAGAAAATAAGCCAGCTGTTGAAGCGCGCAGTAACAGTGAGAGACCCAGCAGTATTAATGGATTACCAAAGAAACCTATTTCCTCAGATGGTAGATTGTCAGATGGAATTCTTGGCTTCGAAAATAAGCCAGCTGCGCGCAGTAATAGTGAGAGATCCAGTAAGGAATGGGTACGGACAAATCAATTTCCTCACACACTAGACTTGATGATAGAAGTCCTGATTTAGTGAATAAGCCAGTTGGTGACGTATTGGCGATGTCAAGTTATTCTTACAATTTTGAATCTGATGCAAGTGACCATACACGAGGCAGTAGTGCAAGCTAACCAAAGTCATCTTTCAAGTAAGTGCCATTGTAAAAGTTAGTTGTGGTGAAAGCCGTGTTGACAAGATGCAATTTTTACTGAAACTAGTATATAGCAACGCTTTATTTGTATCGAAGAAAATATCATTTCAGCGAGGCTACAATTACCTTTGGCAGGGTGTTAGCCAGAAAAAAAGTTTTGTCCGTTAAACGTAAATTGGGAAAGTTTTTTTGACCGATCAAAGTCCTTGTGTAGGAATAAATAGTGTTTTTTTTCCAACGTGTTTCTCCTTAAAGCTGATTTCCACTGTTGCGTTTTTCATACGTACGTATACGTACGTAACACTTTAAATCCGTTTAAATGTTACTTATGAAATAACCAAATAAATTAAGCAACAGAATTTAGTGTTCCGCAAGTTTTAGTATGCATTTGTTATCTTATTTGTAAAATATTTAAAATGTAGAAGGATTCAAAGTTTTTCGTGCGTGTACGTGCGTACGAAAAACGCAACAGAGGAAATCAGCCTTTTAGATGCAAACAACGGTAGCTTGGTTTTGTACATTTCATTTCCGGTGAATGAACACTAAAAAATGCACACGATGGCACTTCGTTTTGTATATTTCATTTCCGGTGAATGAACACGGATGCACATCGATTACACTTTGTTTTGTACATTTCATTTCAGTGAATACACACCCAATATGAATGAAACGCGATACATTTTGAGAAAATAGTAAATGGGAAAAGTAAATAAAACGTTCTTTGATATAATAATATAAAATCAAACGCAATGCACTTTCTAATCAGAAAAAATGAAAATCTTCCAATAGACCCAGTTGAGAAAACCCCTTTAGCTACTTCAATTGGGAAGAGTCCGTCAAACGGACAGTATATGGGCTAGCTAACACCCTGTTTCACAACACAAACGGGAATGTTCTGTTTAACTTGTGAAACATGCAGGTATATATTAATATACACATAATAAAAGTGCCATCCAGTGGTCGGAATGTAATTCCATTCTTTTTTCCGTCACTGTTTTGAACATGCCATTATTCCCCATGCCATCCAGTAATGATTCAGTCAATGTTCCATTGCCTTTTTAAAGCCTGTTTTCCACTAGGCAGAATTTTGCGCGCGGAGCGGAAATTTTCTTTGTCTTGTGATTTCTCGGGTGGAACTAATTAGAAAAGACAAAGAAAAATTCCGCTCCGCGCGCAAAATTCCGCCTAGTGGAAAACAGGCTTTATATTGTGAAAATCCCATGAATGCAATGAATCACGGACACAATCGTAACCGTATTTCAAATTAACATCCAAGAAGACGTGACAATAATTCGAAGGGTTTTTAACCGATGATTAGGGTCTGACTCATTCTCGTACCCAGAGCTCTTCTTACGCGTGGTCAACCAAGCGCGACGAGGGGCTCTGGCCAAATCCATAACCGGATATCATAAAAACATGGTATCCGGTTTAACACTGCGCATGCTCAACGTCAAACGCGGATAAACATTGTGATAAACACTTCGGTTTTCTTGTTTGTTTCGTTTTGAAAGTTTTACTCCAGGAAAACCCCACAAAAGCGGTACAGGTTTCGCTAATTTTATTTATTTAAATCAATTAGTAGGTAAGACGTGATGTTCTCAATGTATGTTGATAAAATTTAGTATATATTTCCCTCTTAAACGTTGTCAAAGCAGTAATGGATACGGATACGAAGACGAGAGATTGTCTCA